CTCTGAAACATTTCAGATATAAAATAAAGCCACAGGATTTTATTTGGATTTTATTAAAGTAAAATGTTCCTACTTTTCTTAGAGAAGCCAAAAAACTTAAAATAGTATTATTGTTTGAATGAAACTGTGAATAACTAAACTTCTTTGATAGAATTAATCTAAATAAGTAGAAATCCTCTTTTTCCAAACGTAGATCAAGTTTAGTTCCGGACAAAACAAGTGATCAAGTGTTTACAAGAGAATTTCACACAGGTGTGGTTATCTTGTGATGCTAGCTTAGCTTAGCATTGACGTGAGGAACTAATGAGACGAGTTTTCCTCTAAAACACAAGTGAACAATGAAAAACGTGCAGCGACACGTCGAACACACAGAAGATCGAATAACTGTGTTGATATTTGAAACAGGATTCACCTCATGAAGATCTATGGGCTCCGGATCCAGGAAGTACCGACTGGCAAACAGGAAGTGGAGGAGTCCAATGGGATTTATGGAGAAGGGGAACTTGGAATAAACCAAGTTAGACAGACTCTTACTGTGATTTTTTCATGATGACTGAGCATTTGATAAAATATTCAATAAGAATAGATTAAATATTATTTTATATCCCTGTTACTGCCGTCCCCTATTTTAAACATTAGCATGTAATATTAAAATGATTTAAGGATGATTTTTTTTAATGTTCCACTGAAGGTTCACTTTGGAAAACATAGCAAAGATGTTTCAAACCAAGAACCTTCTCTGTCTAAAACTGTGACAGTTCTCAACACTACAGAAGAAGCTCAACGACTAATGGAACAAACGTGCAGTCTCTATGTTCCAGTGAATGCTCAGTTAAGAAAAAAGCCAAGACCCTTATGCATCCAAAACCTGTGACAGCCTCTACACTATGAGGGGAGCACGGACTTCTCAATGTGATGCTTCTGGGCACCTTTAACTACTTGCATCAAGTACCAATGAAAAAAATCATTACTACTGAACATTGCAAGACTTGAACCATCGGCCCAAGATTAATAAGTGAAGCTTGTAACTGGCTGTACCACATTAAGACCATTGTAGTAGGTTTTTGCTAAGATTTTCAAGACTATAATGTGTTCATGCAGTTTTAGACACAATACTATGCTGTCGCGTTTTGATATTTTGGATGCCAATGTTTTAATGAGGTTTTATAAGACATACCATCTGTTTTTATGCCGTTTTAACTAAATATGGCATAAAACACTCGTCCAAAAGACAACAAAGTATAGTAATAATGTCTGTGTGCATATAAGATCCTCACCGTCTCTGAGGAAGATGCAAACAAATGCTGTGCAAGTGATAAATATGGCACAAATGCTGTCAAGGCAAAGTGCAAACCAGCGAGAGGTCATCAGAAATAAAAACCATGCCTCTAGGAAATGGAGAAAAGAACATATAAATAAACAGCATAGAAACACTGTGCACCACAAACATAGTAGAGTTCCAATGTTACCGAGCACAGCAGAGTCTGATTGTGATTAGTCAAGCTTTAAATCAGCTTTAAAAATCAAAACAGCAAGTTAAACAGTGAAGGTGAACCTGAATGCAGGTCCTGATGAGCATCGAAGGCCTTCTTTAACCTCTCCTCAGCTCTGAAGGCTCGAATCGTCCACAGGCCTTGAAGAGACGTAGACAGATGGGACAAGACGGGACTGCGCGCTGCAGAAAACATGACGAAGCAAGTTTTGCCTCCAAGCATTTTTCCATAGTATAATCCTGGCACAGTTACATAGTATAATCCTGGCAGGAATACAGGGACATACTTGTAGACTCCAGACGTTTGACATCTCGTGATGTGCTGAGGTAGAAACGCCTCAAGTACAAGAAGAGAAGAATCAGAGGGATGATGGGGATCAGGATGAGAGGGATGACCGAGACTGCCACCGCCACCACGCCGGTATTCTGCAGAAATAACTAAAAGCAACACAGTGAGGGATGAGGTTCAGAAAAATAAGACTGATAAAAGTCGGTCAATGAAAATAGTTCTGAAAGCTCACCTGATAGAAGTCCACAAAGGTGATGGGTAACATCGAGTCCATCTGGCTGATGTCTTTGGAAAACCTGTTGAGAATTCTTCCTACAACGAAGATAAGAGCAAAGTCAGTTACGAGTTCATCTTGTGCGCTCACTGCTCTGGTTCAGTCATGCTTAACAAGAGAGTTATGACAGGAAGTGAGTTCTGTGTGAGGAGCACCGATAGGGTTGATGTCAAAGAAGTGAACAGGCGTGCGGAGGACAGCGTTGAACATGCTGTTGTGAAGCGTCTGAGCCGATCGCACCAGCCCATGAAAGATCACTAAACTCCGGGCATAGCCAAAGATCACGGCAGCTGCTGTCAGACCTGAAAACAAAAACAACAGGGCTACTCTTTATCATATGACAGAATACTAGGGCCATAATCTGAGAGAACTTTACAAATTTGTTCTGTAAACATTTATCCAGATAATATTACAACTTTATTCACACAATACTGTGACATGTTACCTGAGTAAATGCTGAGGTAAAAGGTGAGCGTGAACTGTTCATCTGTGTGAGTCAAGTTGATTCCATTTGCAAAGCTAACAGAGGCTGTGCTGTTCAAACACTTGGCTCTCGCCCTGTCAGGGGACAAGATGAACACATCAGACTAACAGCAAATGCTGAAACTAAGACCAACATCCGTATAAATGAGGAAACTACTCTGATGAAGTGCTCACCAGTATACGAGCCACCAGTCCTGAAGAATGTACGCAACCTGTAATTGGAAACAAAGTGCAGTTTGCTTTCACTGGACGTTTTGTGGCTGAAACAAAACTTGTGGTTGAAAGGTTTAGGGAGGGATTGTAAGCAATACACAAACAGTATGTAATACAAATAATTGGGTGTAGGAGCAGGAAGTAAGTGTGTATTATGCATTAGAAATCTTTATTTTAGATTTCTCTAATTCTTGATGTCTTTCTTCGTTGTTCTTCTTCCTGCTTCAATACCAGAACAGAAAGTCGACTTTCTCTCCACAGAACGGCTTCAATGTTTGAAGTGTGAATGTTCGAGGCCTCTGAGCCACATCTTATACATGTATCTTACCTCAGCTACGACACTGAGCAGGACTATGACCAGTAGGACCAGGAGGCTGGAGCCGGCAGTGAAGTACTTGAGGTAAACGTGGCCACTGACGTCTCCTTCTTCTCGTGTTTCCTCTGCCACGGTGCCGACTGTTTCATCCTGAAAAACAAGTCATTACTGATCCACATTTTAAACCATCATTCAATGAATTGTTAAAATCACACATGAACTGATTGGAATGGTGGTAAAACAATGCTCCAATACTTTTGGACGTTCAGATTCATTTTGAGAATGTACCCACAGGGAGCTGGTTTGTCAGGTGGCTCTCTGGCGGCAGGAGGCTGCTGTGAGAGCAGTTTGTCCTCTGGCTGCGCAGCGACAGTTTGTCTGAGTCACCTGACGGGGGCCACTGCTCCTCGTCGCTCCTCATCAGCGACATCATGTCCAGTCCGGACGAGTGCAGCTCCTTGTAGGTTCCCTGCGCCATGACGTGACCCTGAGAGACACACACACACATATGTTGTGTTTAACGTCTGAATAAAGTAGAACTATTGAATAAACACTAGGTGGGCTCATCTGTTACTGCGGCAACAGAGGTTCTTTTTTTAATTTGGTGCAGATCCAGGATTTTTTTTTTCACTTCTTGAAAATAGGCATTTTTCAATATTTTGGTTGTTTTGGAGATTTCCAACCCATTTACCCTCTCACACTAAAAGCACGTATTTGTAATTGTCGGCAGGTTTCTCTTCTCTTGTTGGGGCACAAACCTCTTTGAGGACCAGAACCTGGTCGTTTGGCTTGAGATGCTGCAGCTGGTGGGTGACCAGGATACGAGACTTGTTCTTCAGCAGGCCACAGATACACCTGATGGATGGACACATTTAAAACAGCATTAATATTCCACTGGTGCATCACAACATCTGTTATTCTTCAATAAACAATTTGGAAAATCTGGTGGAGACTCACTGCTCGAAAAGATGTTTCCCGACCTCAGCATCCACGGCACTTAAGGGGTCGTCCAGGAGGTAGATATCTGCATCCTGATACACAGCCCTGAGAATAAAACACACATGGGGGTGCGTGCAGATTTATAAGTGCACACTGGACAGGAAGACACATTCATGAGGAGAGAGTGGTGAGTGACGGGGGAGAATGAGGAGCGACAGGTGGAGGAGGAGTGAGATGGTGAGAGAAAAGAGAGACGGCATTCCCACCACACACACACACACACACACACACACAGATTTTTCCAAATCTGCTTTAATTCTAATAAATGTTCCCTCTGAATAATGTGCACATGCTCGTTGTTACTGCACCTCGCCAGGTTGATTCGAGCTTTCTGCCCCCCGCTGAGTGTAGCGCCTCGGTCTCCGATCAGTGTCAGGTCTCCATCCGGGAGCAGCTCCAGGTCCTGCACTCAAACACAGTGAACCCTCTCAAAGACATGTCCGTGCAAGAAAGTGAGATATTGACAGTTGTGTTTTGGATTGTGCATCAGTGGCTGTGCAGCAGTTGTTATTTCTCACCTTCTTCAGAGCGCAGCCTCTGAGGACCCTCTCATACTTCTGGGGGTTGAGTTCTCCCCCAAACAGGATGTTGCTCCGGATGGTCCCTGGGAACACCCAGGGCTGCTGGGATACGTAGGACAGCTGACCTTTAACCTCCAGCGTCCCGGTGTCGTGAGGCAGCTCTCTCAGGATCGCACTCAGCAGCGATGACTGGTGGAAACACGGGAGTTAATAGAATAGTGATTAGAATCAACGAAGGGACGTACGTTCAAGTACTTAATTTCACTCAGGAGTATTTTAGCTGTCACCGCAATAAGAGCTGTTTGAAAACTTTAAGGAAAGGAAATTCATTTTTTCCTTTAGCTCAGGAAACACCAGACTACCTTTATAAAAGGAAAGTAGAGAGTGCCATCCCACAATTCTTTGTGGCAGCAACATTTAAAGCAACGCATATAAATACAGTCATAATCAAACGCAAATATAAATATAAATATTCTCTTCACAACGAGATGTAAACGTTATTTCAATTCCCAGATTGTAAAATCCACACGATTCATTTTTCTCCTCGTGTGGTCCTCATCTCGTTCAGGTGTACTGACCTTTCCAGAACCCACTGGTCCAATCACAGTTAGAAGTTGGTGCGACTTCACAGCGACAGAGACATTCTGGAGCGATGGAGCATCCAAACTCTGACAGGAACAAACAAACCCCACATACTTAGAGAAACACAACCTGTGTCGTATCATGTCAAATCCCAAAGTGGTCATTCTGAGCCCGACCCTTGAGAACAATATTTATAACCCATTACTCCATGAAGTATCATAGTATTTGAAGTATTCACCTTATCCCAGTAGCAGGTCATCTTCTCAATCTCAATGGAGATGGGATTCTTTTCATCCAGAGGCAGCCCTGAGGTTTTTCTCTCAACCTCTTGAAGCAGGAGGAAATTCTGGGAGGAGGTGAATCAACACACAGACATCACCACTGAACCCACAGTGTGTTTACTGCAGTTTGGTCTTAACTTAACCACGACAGCAAATAAATCTTGAAAATCACATTTATGATATCAGTGAAATGTTTGTCAGGGAATCACTGACTCAAACTCCTCTGAAAGGTCAGACACAGGTTATGTTCAAACAGACGCACACAATTCTGCTCAGCTCTAAGTAGAAGTGAATTTCCTCTGAGGCGTTCTTGAACATAGTGCTCACATACCAATCAGGTATGGACGGACAATGAAGACATTATGCCACCAGGTGTCACTGGCGTGCAACATAAACATGAGGTAAGGTACCAACATGTAACAGCAGCGTTTTTAAATCAATGTTTGGCACAGTCCTGTAACCAGTCACTCAGAGGTTTGATCATTATCGCCTGCATCAGCCTAACGTCACGTAACCTCCTTCGTTCCTGGAAACTGGGACACTGTTCACAATGGTTATGTGATTTTTCTTGGAAGCTCCGGTAATTAACACGCTTGAGCAGAAACAGTTTCAGCAACTTCTACTCAGGGATCATAGAGTTTCCTGGAGAGATAATGTTGAAATGACAAATGAAGTTCGTGGAGTTTCATTTTGAACTGAAATACCTGGATCCTCCGGATGCTGACTATCGTCTCTGACAACTTCTCCACAGCCAGAGGGAAGAACAGCGTGACTGTGAGCTTGATTGTTCCGTAGAGGGACACGGTGACAAACACTGTGCTGGCTGTGATGGTGTTTCCCAGCAGGACGTAGACGGTGAAGGTGACGAAGACGATGATCTTGCTGCTGGCAAAGAAGGACGCCATGTTGAGTCCTCGTAGATATGAGCTCTTCAGGATCTGACTGATTTCTTTCCTGGGAACAGAAGACAACAAATAAAGACAAGTGTTGGGGATTAAAGAACTGGATCTAAGTGCATGAAGAAAAGGAAGAATTTAAGTTAAACATTTTTGTTAAACACCATCAGCCCTCTCCAAACGGAGGTGGTTTGTTAAGTATCATAAAATAAGGCTGGAGTGTGAATGTTTGCATGTAGGATATTTTTAAAAGCTTAGATCTAGCGTGTGTGTGCATGTGGTCCAGACAGATAACTTCAGTTAATAAGCATTAAAGAAGATGGAGGAAGCTTCATGTCGGAAACTGTAAATATCCGTCACGGGTTAAACACACACAGAGTGTTGGCATGAGCGTCTCTGTGATTTAACCTCAGGTGAATGATTTCTTAGAAAGGAGGTGTTGTGTAACTGGAGATGTATAGACGGGCGTGTTACAGCTTCACTATCTTTCATTATCACTCCCCCCCCACTCTCCAGTTTTCAATTGTTTTCCTCAAACTTTTGAAACATTCTAAAAAGTCACTGTTTAAACAAAACAAAGAGAAACCTCCAGGCAGAGCTTCTGTCCTTCGAGAACATTTGATGACAGAGGAGAGAGAGGGGGAGAGAGGTTTTCAGAGTTTAGATTAGTTCAATATTTTGGATCCAGAAGGACAGAAACTCTTTTATTTTTACCTTCTGACTTCAGTCACCAGAGCGGAGAAAGGTTTCTCCCAGGCGTACATCTTGATGATCCTGATGCCGGACACCACTTCGTTCATGAAACGAATTCTGTCGTCAGTGAGGACGATCGTCCTGCTCCTGCAGAAAATAAAAAGTGTACATGTCAATTAATTTGCTTCTTTAAAAATAAGTCATAGTTTGATGTTGTTCATCCCTGTTTGTGCTGGTTTGTTTTCAGCAGGATTATGTAAAGACCTCTCACCCAGCTGTGTTGGAACTTGCTGGAAAGACATGGGCCAAGGAAGTAGTCATTAACTTTTAGACTGTTTCAGAGTCTTGGCAGAGACTCTGACTCTCCCAGTGTCTTTTAAGATTCCTCTGCCAAGAAGGTGATGTGTTCACAAGGGATGTGATATGTGTCAGGGAAGAACTCATTCAATGACCTTATTTAACATCGCACTGAATTAGGGGACGGATGATTTTAAATGCGTCGTAGTTGTTATTTCCTACCTGAAAATCCCAAAGAGTTTTCCAAACCAGGTCTGCACAGGCATCATGAGGGCGATGGCTGCCACGCCTGCCAGACACGACTGGCCGATCTCATACCAAAGGAAAACGATGATCACCATCGCCTGCAGAGGTCCCAGCCACAGGTAGTGCAGATTGAGTGTAATCTACAGAAACAACGGTTCATCATTAGTCACAACAACTTTGACATATTAACATTTGTGTACAAACAGACAAAAACTATCAAAGTTACCAAATCAGACTGATGCACATATGACGACCTTATCAACAGACCCAAAGTTCAGACATGCACTGAGCACTGGAGACGCTCCAGACATTCTCCGGTATGTGTGGAATGTACGTGTGGACGAAAATACCAGAGGGAGACCCTCCAGACTTTCCCCGTCCAGCCCCTAAGTTTGAAGTCTGCAGAACGTCTGAATGAACTGAGAAAACCGCAGGAGATTGTCATGGCAGTTCTGCAATCCCACTCTGACAACGAGGAACGAGACAAATATCTCTTACAGTACTGTCACACTGTAATGCTCAGAGCATGATACACAAGACAAAGGTTAGTTTGTAATATGCACGCCGATGGGAAGCTGTTCTTTCTCTTGATACATGTGGCTCGTTCCTCCCCCTCTGGCTGAGGTTGTTTCTTAACAAAAGGTCAGGATCTTCTGAGGACATCAGGCAAACGATGCCTTAGTTGAGGCAATCAGGTCAAGATTCAATCAGGTGCACCGGATTCAGCATGATCAAGGTCACATGGTAAAGATTCAATCATGATCAATCATAGAGGAAATGAACATGAGAACATTCTGCATGATCAACATGTAACATTTGATGTTTGTCGCCGTGTCTCACACGTTACCTCATCGAGGCGGTTGGCGTCATTTGAAATCAGGTTCACGATTTGTCCAGTGGTGGTTTGTCCCATGGATTCACTGCTGAGACTCAGAGCCTGAGGAGAGAGATGACGCACGTCAGGTGACATATGGAATATTTCCAGGACGAGCAATCCACAGAATCTGAACCTTCACCCACCTTCCTGTAAATCATGTGACACGTGGCCACTCGCATCTTCATGCCCGTGATCTGGAGGTAGTAGTAGTAGATGTGCTGGAGGAAAGTCAGTCCAAAGGTGGAGAGACACATTGCAGCGGCGTAACCATACACCATGTACAGACTCCTGCTGTCGTCTGGGGTGTAATTCTCAAAGTACAGGATTATTTTTCCCAGGAAAAGTGGCTGGAGCACTTTAATGGCCTCCTTCAGGACAAAGACAGCGACAAAAAAGTACACATTAGACAATGAGACAGAAATACACACAATACTGATGCTGCATGCGGGAAAAACTGCATTAGACACAACCTTGCTGCTAATTCTCGTGAAAAGAAATCATAACGTCAAATAAAGAATCTTGCAGCTCACAGGATCCAACGTAAACACAACCGATGACTAACTGAGGATTTACATTCTGATTCCTTATCATTAAGCTTTTGTCTAAAATGTTATTTTATTGTACCTCAACCCTCTGGTTCCAGTGCTGTGTGCTAATCTGGCAAAATAGCGACAACATACCATTGAAAATCCAATCAACCCAACCAGAGCAAACTGCGTCCCGTAGCGCTGAATCAGAATTCTGGTGAAGTTTGGTTTCCGAAGTTCCTTCGTGGACATCCTGACTTCATGATCCCACAACCTGAGACAAAGAACACGTGATGGACGCTCACCGTCAAACCAGAACTGCTTTAGTGGTGTTGCTATGACAACCCGGTTCACCCCCGGTTTAATATCAGTACATGTTAATTTGAAGTCAATTCATTTGAAGACAACAAATGTTGTAACCGGCGCTGGGTGATCGAGAAAACCTGCAGTTATCTGACGGCCAATGGACAAAGAGTACTTTTGAATTCTAACAGTACTGATTACTGCTGCATGAGTAAACAATATCCAATTCTGAAATCACTTATTGTACAATGGGTTTTAAGTGATGTCACATGTTGCAGGTGACATCAGCTGCCCTGGAAACATCAAGACGTATGAAGGTTTCAACACACGTGTGTGAATGAACATGTACAGGTGTGTCACTACCTCTGCAGCGTCTCTCCGAGTGCGTCCGACTGAAACTCTGGAAGAAGGTCGTACATGTCACTTTCCTCCAGCCTGCGTTTGTGGCCGAGCTGCAGCAGTGGGGTTAACCAGCTGGAACACAGTTAGAAATGCAGTAAGTATCTATTGCGTCGGTGCACAGGCACTTTATTTTCTTTTTGTCATTGTGAGCGATGGGGGGGTAAACCTCAACAATAACTGTGGGGGGCCAAACACAAGCGGCCTCCTTCTGAATGCTTGGAATGGGACAACCAGGTCAGTTATGCAGACTGTGCCCCCTGCAGACCCCCAGCCTGTCACTAACGGTTTACCTGCAACTACTTGCACAGATACTCTGAAGTACTTTGTGTGGAATAAAAACCCATTTCTTACGTTTACAAGCCTTGAACCACTTGGTGCTTCCTAAACTTCCTGTGTAAAAATACTTTGAAGTAATTCAACTTTCAACAAACTGTGAAACCAAACTTCTCCCTGGGGACAATAAAGTTTTAACACTATTTAGTTTTAGTACATGTTTAATTACTTGTACAAATAGTATGAAGTACTTTAATTGTGCAGTTTAAGTGCAACAAGCCCTACTAGAGAACACAATTCAGCCTGTTTCTCTTACTTTAATGTGGAATAAACTATACTTCTACTTTACTTAAACTACTTGTGCAGATACTATGAAGTACTTTGTGTAGCTTTGCGTCACAGATACTTCAGTATCCCTGTATTCTCACCTCCCTGCTCATTCAAACTTCTCGGCATTGAAAGCACATGATGGAGCAGCAGGAGCAGCAGCGGGACTCACCACAAGAGGAGCCGGGGCAGGGAGCTGGCAGCGGCCATGGACTTGAGTCTGTGCCCGGTGTCTGCGGACATTCCGGTTTCCCTTCAGGTGTCCGCACCTCGACGGGAGCGAAGGCAGCGGCGCGTCACCCAGACACGACCGGATCTACTGGAGTTTGATAACACGAGGAAACCTGCAGCTCAGCCAATGAGAGCTGCAGCCGCGGGGGTCCGAGCTGAAGTGTGTGCAGGTGCTGCTGCAGAGAACTACTCTGGAAATACTTTATTATAACGGATACTGCGAATATCTGAGAGGGTACAAGTATCTGCAAAGGTGTTGAGGCCAACCTGCATGAAAGTACTGTGAGTATTTCAGCAGCACTGATCAGTATTAGTGTGATAGTAATTACACACAGTTAATATTGTTTATTATTATCGTGTAACGTTCAGGTCCAGTCGGAAAACAGGCGTTTTAATTTTATCTCAGCTCCCAGCTTTTAATCCCACAGAAAACCAGAAGAGGCTCCGGTCGGCATTGTCGTATTGAAACCAGATGTAAACACGTTAAAGGAAACCGGTTCAGCGGAAGTTTAAAGTGAAACATGCCCCGCGGATTCCCGAAGAGAGACGTTTCCGCAGCTGTCCGCGAAGGCACCATCCTCTGTCAGTGAAGGCACCATCCCGTGCACGTGCATTGGTGCAGCTGTTTAACGACATGGAACACGTGAGCAGAGTTTATCTCCACTCAAACTTCCACAGTGTCTGATTCAGGCATTGGTTGTTCTCCACATCTCACACGCAGACAAACGCACCAGTCAGATGTTGAGACAGGAAACATCCTTGTTGCTGGTAGAAAAGTAGGCCAGGCCTGAAACCCTGAGGTCACATGACTGCTGGAGAAGCACATGACCTCCACCCTGGCCTGTCCAGGTGAGCTGGGCCTGACCTGCACTTTGACTTCACAGAAGTTTTCATCAGAATCCAGTTTGTCCACTTATTTCACATTACTCTGAGAATTATAAAATTAAAAAAAAGGCCTCTAGTTAGAATTAGTTGGATTTCCCAGCAGGACTAATCCTGACTTGAGGAGCAACAATCAAGTTAAAGGCCCAGAAGGAACCAGCTCTCCTGGGATTTGAATCTTCATCTAGAAAATGCACGAGACCCGAGGGTTTTTTCTTTCAGGCTGAAAAAACCAAGATTAAAGTCCGAAGTCCATCACGAGGATATTTCTGGTTCAGGACACTTTTGTTCTTCGCCGCAAAAAAACAACGCACACATTCAATGAAAAACACAAACCGTGATGAAACACACTGTTTCATCACGGTTATTTTATTCTCATTTCTATTGTTGTTTACTAAGTTGCCACGGGTTCTGCATCACTCTATATACACTTTAAATCTTTTGTATTTAATTTAAAAATGCACGTTACACCTTTATTTAAATGTTCACTCATATTTTCACTGTATTCTATAATATTTATATTCTATTGTCGTTGAATTTCCCTCAGGATTAATAGTCTTATCTGAAACGCACCTGTTGTGTGTTGTCTACAAACACTGTGTGATGCAGGTTTGATTACTCAGGGTTGAATTCTGTCATCTGATGTTTTTAAACACTTTAAAAACCACACAGATAAATATAGTGTCATGTTCTCAGATTACTATTTGAGAACATCTACAGTTCCACAAAGCCACCAGTAGAGGGGAGTCATCCTGTATTTATCTAGTTCTGATCTCACTGACTCTTCTTCTTTATCATTTTAATGTTTTATTTCATTCACACTTTTCTTATCTGTAACATTTGATTATTTTATTTGTGCTCTATTGTTGTGTGATCATCAAATTGCTTTTCATTGCAACACTTTGTTTTATTACAACATCACAGTTCCTGGAGAGGGTACTTCTAAAAACATTCAGATTGTTTTAACTTGTACTTAGTTCTATGTTGTTTTTTCATGTATTTTTACTTCTTTTATTTATGAAGCACTTTGTATCTTTGTATTGTCGACTGCATTATAAATAAATTACAACTATTATTAATGAGAAAATGACATTTGTGTGCGATCACTGTTCTCTTTTTATGGTTTCAGTTTTATAAATGTCATCCAGACACAGAACGTTTTCACAACTCACACATGCAGGGACACGCTCAGCAACAGTTACAACGTGATTGCACGTCTCAGCTCCAGTGTCGACTTGCAGCAGCTCACAACTCAAAGTCAAACTTCAGGGGGAAACATCCACTTTGATTACCTGAAGTAATCACTGAACAAGCTGAGCTCTGCGGCGCCACATTTTCCTCCGTGCCTTTCTATTGGCCGTCCATCTGCACGTCAGCGGTGGCTGCTGCAGCCGAGGTCGCAGCTGTTGCTGTGTCACATCTTGTTTACACCAGGGGCCACGGCTTTGTTTGACCTAGTTACTGAAAAGCCCGAGAGGCAAAGTCATAAAGCAAAATACACATTAACGGACAAGAGGGAAAGAAAGACGCCATTTTCTAAACAGACGAGGTTTGGAAATGGATGGTATCGAAAAAAACAGAAACATGATACGTCTCAGTTATTGTTCCACATGAGCCGTTTTCAGACATGAACTCCGGAGGACGTCCGCAGAATTGGTTCCGGACTTTCTCTGGAGTTTTACAAATGAACAAGGCATCATGGGAATTTCTCGGCACAGACACATTCACAACAATATAGAAATCTCCGGAGCGTCCAGGCGAGGGGGTGGAGCTGCAGACAGAAGCAGGACGTGACGTATTCATCCTGCTGTGGAGATCACAAAGCTCGGAGTATCTCACTGGGACACTTGCGTTCCCACATGCAGCCTCTCCAGAGAATGTGCAGAGGTTCAGTGTTTGTCTGGACGCAGCTGTACAGGTGAGGACAGTGTGAGTGAAGCACACTGGGACAGAGTTGCCTCAATAATCGTTTAATGAGAAGAACATGCTCAGTTTTCTGGAAGCAAAACCAGAGGAAACTTAATCTACAGACGAACAGACAGTAAAACAAGATGTGTGTCAATGTGACAGAATGTGAAACTGTTTCTGTGTTTTACTGAGCAGCTCATTGATCGAGGACCCTTGACAGTTGATTTGTGACGAGCAGCAGTGTCTTCAATTCAGTGTGAATCCGTTTCCGTTCTGCTGGAGCACCGGTGAGTGACGGAGTCCAGAGGAAGCAGTGACCCGTTTATCCTCAGAGTTGGATCTAGTCCTACCTCGACATCCTGCAGAGCTCAGGTGGCTCCTGTCATTGGCTGCTTGAGTCCTGAGCCTCGTCCTTGTTCTGCGATGAACTGAGCAGCTCCTGAATCCTCTGCATGTCCTTGTTGGTTTCCTCTGCCTGGCAGCTGACCTTCAGATCTCCAATCAGATCGTCCGTCAGCTGCAGACGGGCGGCCCTGGATTAAACAAACAGAAAGAAAGGTTTTTCAATGCTTGGTGAATGATCCTGTGAGATAACGTCGTTAAAATCTTTTCGAATTGAAATTACCATTCTGCCAGTCTGAGATCGTAAAGTTCCCTGCGCTCTCTCCTCCTCCTCTCTCGCACAGTTTCTTCAGCCAGAGACTGCATGCTGGTGATCAGAGCCCCAGTGGGAATCCTGGACAAAATGTGAATGTTATTAACATAGCAGTGTATATTTACACATTTGGTGATAATCTGTGCAGTAGTTTTTGTGTATTCTCGCTAACAAACACGAAAACTGAACTTCCTTGGCGAAGGTAACAAAGCGGACCAGTTACATGACACCTCAACACTTCAATAACTGGGTACGACACAAATAATCTGCTTTGTCGTTCTGTTCCAGAAGCTGCTTCAGCTGTTTAAACATCAATGTGTCCGTCTTCCCTCTCTAACAAAGTCCCGCTCCACCTCCCTGTCACACCACCACGTGCAGGACGAGGGGACGATTGTGAGGTGAGATCTGGAGCGTGATGTGCTTTTTCCGATTTGCTGCTTTCTTTCATTTCAAACCCTTCTGCCCCCACTGCACCTGGCACAGCCGGGGCTGTTTGCACACATCAAACGCTCCAGGTGGCCGGTCACTGAGGCCGACAGCGAGAGGGTGAGCAGAAGGAGGAGGCGACGCTAGCGTGAAGCCAAGAGGAGAGGAGACGAGGGCCGAGCCAACACGGAGCTGATGATCTCACATAATCCAAACCGGCCCCTACGGTCCACTACGCCCATCAAACACCTCGCACTCAATCTCCGTTATACGATCACATTCAAATCTGCCCTTGGCTTCGCGCACTCGGCTGAAAGTGGCCACAGAAACGAGTGAGAAGAGGAACAGAGGAGAGAGGAGAGGAGCGAGAGTGGAGCACAAGTGCAGATCAGACGTGGTCGATGGAGATGAGAGGCTGGAATCACAGCGGTGGTGTAAAATGGAGAGGGGCAGTTGCCGTCTTGGCCTGGCTCCTCGCTCTAGTACCCAAAACACGGCCCTCTGTGGTGCACATGAATCCCACTGGCACCGTGAACAGAGCTGAGGGGAGGGTGGGGGGGTTCAGCTGGGCGACAGAGGGTAGCTGGGAGGGGTGCAGCTGGCTGCCAGAGTGCTCACTGCTCTGAAGCACACAGGCACCGATGAGGACACACATGAGCGAATATGCACAAGAAGAAAAATATACGTGGCGTTTCCTGACGATATCACTCAGACTGAGATTCTGTTTTTAGATCAGTTACGGTGAAACTTTAACTCAGTGGAGGTTTGAAGAAGCAGAACTTTACCCCAGCGCGGCTCCGATGATCGTCCCCGCCACCAGCCCACCCAGGCCCAGGTTCAGTCTGAAGAGGCCTCCAGTGACAGCTGCTCACACACACACACACAGTTTTATCAACACCACACAATGAAATGAAGTGCCCCAGTGCTACAGATAATAACATTACTCACAGACAACTACCCACTGATTCCAAACACCCCCTCTTATCGGCCTGAGTCAAACCGTGTGTCCAAAACGCCACCAGGTCATTTTGATAATCTTATTCTTTTTGTTTCACCGACACATGAACAGATATAAGAATGTTTACTAAATTCTTTATTTTCAATATTTCAACACACAAGAGCTGGAGTGAACTGCGGAGCCCTCAGAATAAATGTTGAGTGTGACGCTCAGCTGACGTTCGCTGGATAAATAAAGTGGTGGTGACTCACCTCCAGCTGCAGCGTAATGACTGAGCGTGTATTTGTCTCGGTACACAGACAGCCCCGTGCTGACGGAACTACAGACGGACACAAACACATGTAAAGAGGACGGTTGCTGGAAACAAACACCTTCAGGCATTTTTCACATTTCATGTAAATATGGTTTCAGTTCTAGTCAGCAGCAAAATGTAATTAAGTGAAATGGATTAAAGTCTCTAATGTGTTTGACAAGTTAGAAAATAACGATGGATTGAAAGAGTACATTTCCCTTTGTAAACATCTGAACCTGAACACATGGTCCAACATCATTGTTTTTATATTTACTTGAACAAGGTGACGAACGCAGCCACCCTCCAGCTCCACCTCCACCCATATCTCACAAAACCACGGATAGCGGCGTTATGGGCCGAGCGCTGAGTCAAATACAAAGACACAGAAACAATGACGCTCATTTTAATTTACATTTAATGAAACTTAATTTATATCATCTTCTATTTCTCTCTTATGTTTTCTAAATCCTCTGCTTGTATTCAGATATTAAACACACAGTCACAAAGAGACGACAGATTTCACTCACCACTGCTTCCACTCGACCAGTATAGATTTCCGCCTGGCTGATTTGGATGTACCGCTGCCTGGCGTGGCGTGCAGCAGGCAGGCCCCCGTAGATCAAGCCTGCAAATCCGGCCACCACGCCGCTCTTTATCACGTTGGTCAGCTCCTCCGGGTACGACTGTGTCACGCTGCCGGGAGACGAGAGGGATGAAGCACAACTCATTCAGAAACACCAGATATGTTGAGTTTAAAATCAAATCAATGGATGTGTTCTTTTATTTTACAAGCTACTGATTTTTATCTGATCACATCTCACAGTCAATTAATCAACAGGATGACATTCTCAAAATAAAGAATCAAGTTCCCACTGTCCTGTACGTGGTTTTCTGACAATGAAAACTTCAAATTCTCGTTTATTAGTCGTACTTTAGACTCCAGAAGAATTTAGAAGAAGAGACAAACACTAACTCTCTGTCAAAGAGGTCCTTGATTCGATCCCATCCTGTGTCTGGGAATTCTGGCTTGCCCAAGTTGCTTGGCACAGAGCGTGAAGATGGGCTGGGTGCAGGAGCAGGGCTGGTTGAGGAGGAGGAGGAGGAGGAGAGCATCTGTGGCGGCTGGGCAGCAGCCACATCAGCTGCGTGGACCCTGGGGAGCAGGAGGCAGAAGGAGGGAGGCCTGGCTCTTTGGATGAAGCCCTGCAGTAGGCCGGTGCTCAGCATGCCCCGGGGTGCTGGACCCGCCTGCCATCTCTGTGGGGTGATGCCTGTTGTGTGTGGCCCTGAATGCATCACTCTTCAGCTGGCGCCGGACTGCAGAGCAGAGGCAGAGACACATGGTCATGGGTTGGGATGTTGCACTCGCTGCCTCGTCTTAAACTCCAGCCCCAAAACAAAGAGCCTGAGGGCAGATGAAACCCTGGCAGGGCTGCACGAGCTGTCAGCGGCTGCAGTCTCACCAAAACACACGAGCAGATTCTTTCTCTCTCAAGTTCAAAACACATCACACCTCTCTATCTATCTATCCATCTATTCATGCATCTCTCTCTCTCTATCTCTCTCTATGCATCTCTCTCTCTCTATCTATCTATCTATCCATCTATTCAT